AGAATAAACACACAGAAAGGGCAGGGAACGAGATGTCTGGAAAACATAAATATGAAAAAGTCAGCACTCATCCAGACGCTATTATCAGTGCTAGTGCTGCTCCTGCAAACAGATGCTTTGGGATGAACAGTTGTTTTGGAAACTGAGCTACTGATTTGGGTTGGGAAAGGGGAGCAAGAAAGTGCAGAGCAGGGCAGGGGATGAAAAAGCGGCTCCTCAGCCCCTCTGCGCCAAGAGCCCGTTCAGACGCTCTGCGCTCTGGTCATTCCCTCTGTGAAGGGTGGCTGATGGTATCTGCTGGAGGGGAGACTGTACAGAAGTCCCAGGGGCCCAGGGCTGCTCCTTGCAATGACATTAGCATTGCAGTGACCGTGTTCACCTCAATAACTGATTTGTGGAGTAGGAAAGCTGGGAGTACAGACCCATGGCCACAGGGCTGCTCTTCTTAGTGCCTCCAGGACATCGCACGTGACAAGAAAAGCTAAGGGTGCATATGCATTTCTGGCTAGCAGGGGAGAGGGCTACATACAAACCAAGTATGATGAGGAAACAGGCTTGTCCAATATCTCTAGATCCAGTTTAGATGAGGTTTTTTAGGCCCAGCAGTGTGCACAGACTCGCGGCCCTGAAAGGAGGCTGTGCCATAAGGCTGGACCGTGAGCCCCTCACAGGACACAGGCCAGCAAAGAGTAAAAATTATTTAAAGAAGAGATAAGCAAAAATGACATGAAGATTTTCCAGAGAGTTGAAATTTGAACAGCCCAGAACTGCCTTCGGGTCTGATAACCCATAGAGATGCCAACGCTACTGGACCAGCCCACAGACTGACCTGCTGAAAGAGATACTGTAACTTCAGACCCTGCGTACCTGGCATGGCAATCACTGTACGGGGTATTTATACACTGCCATGGGTAAGTCATGAATTAGGAGTGGCAGGATGGAGAAAGTAACCCCATATTATATTTAACCCTGGGTGTGTGCTATAGGGCTGGGTGTGGTGTGGTGGCCAAGCAGCCGAGGCATCCCGCTGCGGATCCAAAAGCGGGAGTTTGAGCCTTGCCTTGGGCTCATGCCAAGCTTTGCTTGGTCTGTGTAGCTGCAGCTAAATCTGTGGCTGTTGAAGGCAGAGAAGCAATTGTAGCGACTGCCCTCCCTTGCATGCCATCAGCTCCCCAGACCGGCAGCTCCAGCTGTGCTAGCGGCACAGGCCAGCCAAAGTCAGGCAGAACTTTGATTGTGACCTACTTAGATGCGTGCGCTACCATAAAAAGGAAACACAGAAATATGTGCATAATGAAACATTGCTGAGAACTTTCTGCTGTTATCACAAATCTTATCTCCTGCTTCTTACCCGTTCATGCACTCCAGTCCTCATTTTTTAACTTCTCTATGTCTCGTTCAGCCTTAAAGATCCCTTTCACCAATCTCTAGCGCTTTCCTTTTAAAGCTTTTGGGAACAGATTTGTGGCTAGATCTGTTCTGAACATTTCCTTAAACGTGGTGAACCCAGGATGTTTTCAGCTAGTTCTCACAGCACCATGTGCCCCTGTGCTTTGCATGAGCTACCAGAACACCCTTCCCTGCCCCACCGCCTCCGGGGGCTGAAGGTACCTGGTACATGATGGAGGATGGAGGCGGTTCGATGCATGGCTGCTGGTCTGGAAGAGGCAGCTCCTCCAGTAAGTCCACGTTGGACAAGGCATCTTCTAACGTGACGTGAGTGGTCATGGTTCTGGATGTTCAGTTTCCACGCTAAATCCAAAGGAAAAGAGAGGGTGATAGACAGACATACAGCAGACAGAAGACCAAGTGAGAAAGTGCCAAAGGACAAAACCAGAGCCACGACTGGCTGGCACTGCAGCAGACATGATCCTGGTCTATCTTGTTTTCCTTTTCTTGTGTATTTAACCTACATCTCTATGTCATCTCTCCTTCCATGATTCAACAGCAGAGTAGGAATGCAGAATAAGAGGAACACAACTACCCACCCATGCCCTTCTCTGCTTAACTCTATGCAAAACTGCTTAAGACAGAACAGCAGGGTGCTGCAGTGCAGCTTTAGCAGCCTCGAGTGAAAGCATATGCTCTGAAATGCAAAGTGGCACTATCAAAAATATCTCTTGAAGCAGCACGATCAGCACGATTAAAGAAGTATGACCGATGCTGACACTCACATGCTCTCCTTCTCACACACACGAACGGAGCTGGAAACTGTAAACAACAAATTGCATTCTCGAAGGTGAACCGGAAAGGATCGAGTGCTGCACAGGCAGGCTGTGGCACTGCAAGCAGCACAAAAAGAAGTTGCTGTTAAAAAGAATTTCCTTGCTTTTACCACACACGTGGTGTCCCCTGCCCAGTCCCAGCCTGCCGTGGAGCTGCCAACGGTGCCAGTCACACGTGAAATAAAAAGCAAAAGGAAACGTTTCCGAGAGCTCACTGGCACTTACCCCAGGCAGGCTACCTAACGGGAACCACCGGACAAACCTCTGTCCCTTATCTCCTCTGCCATTCACCTTTGCCGTAAGTGCACAAGCATGGAGGGACGGCTGCTGTCACCCAGGCTGAGCGCTTGTATAATCACAGCCACAGGGCTTCCTCAGTTAATACCTAATCCATGTGCAATAGCTGTGGCCGACCTACAGCGTGTGTCTCCTAGAAAAACACCCCACTGCATTTAAACATTTGCAGAGAGAGAACTCACTTTAAATATTGACATGTCATTCAATTAGTAAATTGCTGACCCCAGTGCTTTTTTCCTCACTCAGGGTCTGTCTAGTTTCAAATGTGAGCCATGAAGTTTTGTTGCTCTAATCTGCAAGACAGTAGAGCTCTCTGTTATCAAAGTTCCCATCAAGATACCCACACAGGTCAATAAAACACCCTGCAACCTTCACTTTGGTGCAGAGAAGTGGACTGAACTCTTTACCTGTCTTGTTATAGAACGTATTTCCGAATCCTTTAATCACCTCTTTGGATTTTCTCTAAGCCTGATCCAATTTTGCAATTATTTTGCTGAAGTGCAGACACCGTAGCAGGACACGAGGCTCCAGTGGTGATTGTGCAAGCACCAGATACAACAGCAACGTAACCTTCCTCCTTGCATACAACCGCACCAGTTCCCGTGGTCACAACAGCATCTCTTTAGGCAGTCACATTCAGCCTATTATCTGCTACAAATCCCTCCTTAGGTCCTTTTTTTTTTTTTTTTCCCCAATGGAGTCACAGTGTACAAGAATATAAGTTTGATTTTCATTTCCAACACTGGGAACATGGAAGGACAATGGCTTTGGGACAGCCATAGATAGACACACATGCACCCAGCAAGGACCACGACCAAGGGGGATGCACACTGCGTGCAGTCCTGGGGTGGCTTCATGTTAGGTGACAAGAGGGATGAGTCTGCTGCTGCACCTCTTGTCATCGTTGCTGCCTGCATGAATACGTATGAGCCTGGTAAAACCCATTCCACTTCCACAGATGCCTCCCCAAGGTGTCGGGCAGCTGAGAAACAGGTTTGGTTATACCTGCAGCTGAAGCACCATGAAATAAGTGCCCGGGGAAAAAAAAAATAATATCAAGCAACAAATTTCTGTTTCCTTCTTCACCCCTCTTTGCTAAAATGGTTTCCTGTTACAAATTGCAGCAACTGTCAAAACCCGACATTACGTCCCTGCATGCCACGGGCAGAAGCAGCTTCCTCCCTGCCTGCCAGCGCCCTGTGCTGCTCCGTGCCAGGCGGGCGGCTCCACTCACCCAGCCCCACGGGCCTCCTCAGCCGCCCACCGCCATCCTCCCCTGCCTCAAGACTCGCCTCTGGCTTCCCAGTCCTGTTACAAATTGCAGCAACTGTCAAAACCCGACATTACGTCCCTGCATGCCACGGGCAGAAGCAGCTTCCTCCCTGCCTGCCAGCGCCCTGTGCTGCTCCGTGCCAGGCGGGCGGCTCCACTCACCCAGCCCCACGGGCCTCCTCAGCCGCCCACCGCCATCCTCCCCTGCCTCAAGACTCGCCTCTGGCTTCCCAGAACAACACCCCTGGTACTCAGGCAGGCTTCATTACATACTTCAGGCTTGGGAAGACAAAAACCTTCCATTTTATAGCTTTGAGAGCTGTGGCTGTTTATTTGGGCTTGTTTCTCATTTTTTTGTTAAAGGGCATTTGTGCAAGGTGTTGGCAGTCTGCTGTAATCAAAGACGCTTCCCCAATAACCCTGTGACACCCAAAGAGCTCAGCAACACAAGGGACAAAATTATTGCTGCTGTTTGGGCCATACCAGGGGACACAGTCCCAAATACGGCATCAGGGTCCTGCTGTGCTGGGTAGTGCACAAACCTGCAAGACTAAGCCCGTCCCTGCCCTAAAGATCCTGCACTCCAACAGAGGAAGAGAGGCAATGTGTAGAAATACATGAACGCAAAAGGAAGCATCAAGCCATAGCAAGTGAGCAGTGCAATCGGCTGCTGGCCCATCCCGTGCTCTGCCATAGCTGAGCACAGTGCAAGAATCCGAATGCAGATGGAAAAACTACATAGATTTTGAAGGTTTAATAGACGAGTCTTTACAGGGACTCCCAATTTCCATTCTACACTTTCTTAAACCCAACAGCAAAATCAACAGAGGCTACGGAGAAAAGCGTGGTCTGCCAGGACTTCCCCTGGGTCTCCTGCCCATAGCACACTGCGACAGCAACTTCACAGCCAGGGCATGTGATGGAGGGGCTACCGATCCAGGGCTGGCAGACCTGGATCATCACCCCAGGTCATCCACAGAGGAGCAGCCTCGAGCAATCCTCAATCTGCCTGTGCCATGGCCCCTCGCCTGCTCCTTGGGGTGGCTGCAGGGCTGGCGGGGGCCCTGCTCTTGGTTGGGGTCCACTGCCAGTTGTAAGAATCTAGCAGTTGGAGGGGTTGTGCAAAGGCTGGGGAAGGCTCTGAAAGCATCAGCGATTGCTTGGCCCGGTCCAAAGAGCGCTGCGTGGTATCTGCCCACCACAGGGGCTGCCCAGGAGAGCTGAAGGGGAAAATCCCTCTGCCACAGACCCACGCTGCCCCCCTTCACCTTCCTGCAAAAAGCTTTCTAACACAAACGTGCTGGGGCTCTCCTGGCAAATCCAGCTTCATCCACTTGGTCCAGCGATGAGCGAGGTAGCCATCAGGTAACGTGGCAGTGACCAAGCAGCTCCAGCCCAGGGAAGATGGGGATCCCTGGGGACACTCATCAAAAAGTCCTCATTAAGCCTTAACCACCATCCATCACCTGGGCCTCAGGGCAGTGGCGGCCGCGCTGGGAAGAGGAGAGTGAGCCCACGGTGGTGGTTTGCCAACGGTGCTTCGGTGCACGTGGCTGTGGGGCTGGGGGCTGCACCGCCCGGGGAGCAGCGCAGCAGCTTGCCCAGAAACGGGGCTTTTTTGCTGCCACAACACGTGCACGGCGGGGGGAGGCTTTCCCTCGCACACAGGAAGCACATCCTGCCTGCGCGGACCCAAACACCGCCACACAGGCTGCGGGCAGCCATCTCGCAAAACTACTTTCTTCTCCATATCCCGCTGCTGGTCAGAGAAGGTCAATTCCCTCTGGTCCTACTTGTCTTGGCAAAACTGAATGTGAGCCTGGCAGAAGCCAACCCCACCCCAGTGAAACCTGGGAGTGGGCTGACTGATTACTTCTGCTAATGAGCATCGGTGCTAACGAGCGCAGTGCTGCCCACACTTTCTGCCCATCTGCTGCAGCAACTTCCTCTCCCCATCCCACATCTCAACTGCAACTCCTTTGGCCATCTCTTACACCTTCTAAAGCCAAGTGATCACACAGAGGCACTGGGGCTTCTAGACACCGCAGGGAGCCATCCACGCAGGGTCCATGCACAAGGCATGGCCCCATCACTGCGAAATGGAAATTAAGAGCTCCCGACATGGTGATTCTGTTGTGGCAGCATCCTGGGGGCCAGATTTAACAGACAGCGTGGGAAGGCTTTGAGAAGGAGTGAGGATGGACATCCCAGATGTCTGAGCTTGCAGGGCAGGTCTACCTTCCCCACCAAAATGCTTTCCCAGAAGTATCAGTGCAACATCATCCTCTTCACAGTGAGAGGAACAAAGACGACTTTATTGTTAGAGCAGCTTGGGGGAACAAAGACAGACTTTTAAAAGCAGGGCCATAATGAATATGTTTCATGCATGTGTGCTTCGCTTCGAAGCTGCACAGCTGAGAGCTCTGGGGAAGTGGCACGGGCTGTTTCGGTTTTTCAGCTTGCCTGCTCCTACAGCAGACATTCACGCTGGAGCTGCAGTAGCTACTAAAGGCAAGAAAGGAGGCAAGAAAAACTGACAATAGCCCAGGAGACTGGCAGTAAGACAGGGTCCAAGCCCTGCAAGCCTGGGGTGAAACAAGCAGCAAAATGACTTTTGCTGGGGAGATGGCAATGTAGAGAAGGAGGACAAACTTCTTTTGGTCACTTCCTGAGGATCTGGGATGCTTCTCCAGCTCTGATGCCCAGTCCCTGTGTAACCTGGGAATGTCACTTCATTTTTTTTTTTTTTTGCCTCTGTGATAATGCTTCTCCTTCTTACTCCAAAACAGCATCTAACCAGTGGTCAGGAACCATTCTGGCCCAACAAGTACCCCAGCAGATTGGTGCCTCCAGTGCATAAAAGCAGAGTGTTTCTGGTACCCACTGCCTCAGAGCAACAGGAGGATAAATGCTACCAATGTACTTTTAGTCAAG